TATATATATATATATATATATATATATATATATATAAACAAAATGATAGAAATAAGCTTACATTTTTGAGGGAGAACCTACAGTTACATACAGTGCATTAATGGTTTTACAGTAGTAAAAACAAAAAAGCATTCTATGGTATTTTAAAGGGTAGATTCATGTGTGAGACTACTGAGCTGTTTCTCTGTGAAGGGGGTAAGAGAAAGATTAACGTTACTCATTCAGTTATTATTGCAACAGCCTATGATTCATAACAATGACAAATGTCTGATGTCTAACCCAAATAGAAACAGAATAAAAACGCACTAATTCGACGCATGAGTGCGCTAATAGTGTTGTTATGGTTGTGCTCCTCATGACAGATGGTAGCCTGCCCTGTCACTCGACCACGAGAGATAAGCTCACTTCAGTTAGCAAACAGCTCTCTGTCAATGGCTGTCTCACAACAGAGAGAGCTGCCTATCTAGACACTGTTTTAAGACACCATTTGAGCTCATTTCGAACGTTCCGATTAAATCAAATCGCATTTGTTGGTCAAATGCTGTCTAGATAGGCAGCTCACTTGGATTTGAGACTCCGCCAATAGCACAATAATGCACTTCCGCACACTCTTGCGAGACTGATCTCGGCAGTGTTTTAAGGCTATGGATCTGTCTAAAGGGGATGAAAGAGTCGTACCCTGCGGGGTGTTCTGCCGTCAGTACGTGTCTGGTCCGGTGAGCGGTGGATCCGCTGTAGATTGGGCCCGAAAAGACACCGGAGCAACATCCAGCCGGCCATTCTCACCTCGGTCAGGAACTACGGCGGCCTGTGATGATCACTCAGGTACTACAGCAGCGAATGCGAAAAAGAAAACCACTAAACAGCCGCGGCTTCAGGTGTTCAATGCATTCGATGCATGTGTTCAATGAAAAAAGAGATGCGTTTTATGAGGGAATATAACAGACAAAATTAATCAAATAATACATAAATTAATCAAATAATAATACATAAATGCACCATAAGAAAATAAATATATCATAAAATGTTGCAATCCATAAATAAAATGCGATCGTAAATAAGGCTCAAAATTGAATTTATCGTATTTATTATTCTCATTGCATTTTGCTGAAACATATCATTATATGTTTATTTTATGATCTGTTAATTTACTTAATTTTGACATTGAATAAATAGTTGCATTATAAACAAATATTTTATAATAAATAAATGTATAAAATGTAGGCTATATCAAATGTTGCAATCAATACATGAAATTTGATCATAAATAACGTATTAAGTTTTATTTATTGGCTCACATCATATATTTTTTTTAAATTATCAATCAATTGATCGATTAATCAATTATTTAATTATTTTTGCTGAAACATGTCCTGATATTTTTATTTCTTGATATACGTATGATGTAGGCTACTTATTTTTGACACTGAATACATTTTTTTATTATAAACAAACAGTATTTTATAACAAATAATAATTATATTTAACAAATAATAATTATATTTTTTTACATAAATATTTTATATTCCATTTTTATAATTGTGTTGTGGATAAATATTTCATTATTGAGTCAGGGCCAATTATTATGGAGGTCGAAACCTGCAAAAACAATAAATAAATAAATACAGAAATAAATAAATAAATATGCAAATAAATAAATAAATGTGTGTATAAATACACAAATTCTTGTTTAAATACATATAGAAATAATTAAACATGATTAAAGTAGGCAAATAAATAAAATAAATTGGTGGACAAATGGAAAATGTTTAAGGAAATGCTAAACTCATCCTAAATATTTTCCTTTGATCACTCATTTATTTCTGAATGTAGTTCCACATTTATTTTTCCTCTGCGCAACATGCTAATGAGAGGGTGTCAACCATGGACTTGGTCGGGGTCATGTGATAGCTGGGGGCGCGGCTTTCCCGCTGACAGGAAATGCATGGTGTAAATCCAGTATGACCTACGTAAAGTCACTTTTGCTGTTCAACAGAGCAAGATACATAAAAAACTGAGCTGTATTGTCCATACAGTATCTGTGACTTTACAAACGACCCAAAGAAATGGCCAGTGTCGTTTCCTGACGTCATTTTTTGTAACCCGATTGAGTCTCCAGCTAGAGACAACTGTAATATCAGTATCCCATGGTCATCGTGAGATGACTGGTATGAAGTGGTTTAATCAAGGAACAGACAGTTTTTTCCCATTAGTTATCAGAACAGAAAATACAGGCGACAAAAGTATGTTTATTAAGCAAATAACGGTTCAGTATTGCAATTAAGAGCTATGTAAGCATTAATATTTTACATTGGCCACTTAAAATCTTTTATGATTTAGCTCTCTCATGATTATAACTACAAAACTAACCCTATGAAAAAGTGTAAGATAATAATCAGTC